TTTTCTGGGGTGTGGGTTTTTTCCCCCCCCCCCCCCCATTTCCCTTCCTTCCTACCACTATTTCAGATGTTACAAAGACTCAAAAAAGAAGGAAATGCTTTTGGCAGCATAGTCTTAGCTGAGAAGCAGATTTATCCTCCTTGCTTTTGGGCTAATACTATGGCTCTGTGACTTCCAGTTATTCGGGGGATCCTTAGCTACACATTATTTGGCTACTTTTTCTCCTAAAACATAGTCAGCCACTACTCATCCTCAGCTGTCAGTGGCATTCAATTAACCTGTGTGCTAATTCCTACAAGCCTGTCCCTTATAAAGTGGAAAAAACCCCATCACTTACTAAGCTCAGCCCTTGTGCATTGCCTGAGGTACCATGAAGGACAGTAACAACAGTGTGAACCAAAACCTTGAGTTCAAGCTGAAAGAGTCCCTGGTAAGCACCAGGAATCCTCACGGCCACAGAGCGGCTGTGCTCAGGAGGCCCGTGCTCCCCAGCCTCTGCCATAAGGATCTTAAGTAACGAGGAAATGCTGGGAGCTCCTGGGAGGATGTTTCTGACTTCTTATCTGTGGTATTATTTATTGTTGGTTTTAAATTTCTGGCCACGCTGCAACACTGTGCAACTCCCTCATGACTTACAAATGCACTACTGTGTTCTACCCCCAGGCTTAGACTGGGACAGCATTTCAGAGTGTGTAGAATGGATGGCTCCCTTCGTGAGTGTGGCAAAAAAAGTCCCAGTGAAGCTGAAGAACTTTCAGAAGGTTGCAGCAGAAGATCGACACAATATCCAGACACACACAAATTACTTGGAGATGCTGGTAGGTGGTTTGTGGATTGGCAGCGTGCATTACCCTCCTGAGGCCAAACACCTTCCTGCTCGCACCTGGCCTGGCTGGCCTCCACCGGCCTGGTCAGTGGTGCCCAGCCTTTTGGTTCTTGCTCCTGCTTGGCGGTGCTGTAAACTGAAGGTGTTTTACCGTAACACCTGCAGGCCACAAGCAAAGCCATGGATTAGAACAAATAATGATCTTCACGCTGTTGTGTAACATCACCTTTTTATTCAGTATCCTAACTCTGGAGTACTGGAATTGTACTAGCAGGGTGACGAAGCACTGCTGAGTACTAGTGAAACAAAAAAGTAGAACTTGTCACCGGTATTAACTGTTGTCTTCCTCCCCCGATACACAGGAAGAAGTTAACAGTGGAGCAGCATCTACTGCCCCTGGTCAGCTCTCACCCATGTCAACAGGAGGAATAATAACCCCTCCCAAAAGTACAGAGAAGAAATGAAATGTGGCCAACAAACGGTGTGAACAGTTTCAGAAACCGGACTTGGTGCTTCAGAACAAGACCACACTAAAGGTGATTCAAGAGCTGGTCAGCAGAAGACGCATCAAACAGAACAGCAGATGGAAACTGAGACTGGCGTCCTCCTACAGACTTGACAAAAGATTTAGACCAAGCACCCCTCTGTGCCACCGCAGGAGCCTGGACTGCTTTGGTCCCTTCTCAGACATGACTTAGGTCAGCGCTGACCATTCCTAACTTATGAATTTCCAGAACTTTTTAAACACTGCTGAGTGGCAACGTTTGCCCACTCAGGTTACATGTCAAACTTGCTTTAACTTGGGCTAGCCACACAGGACAGAAAAACGTGACAGCTTGTACATATTACCTCCTCTTGACTTGTGGGTTTTGTTTTGTGTCTTTTCTCGGTGAGGTCAGAGCTTAGGGCCTGTCAGTTCGTCAGCCCTGAGCTCAGGTGCAGTATTACAGTGGTCAGCGGGGAACAGTTTACTTTTCTGAAACCACTCTGCCCTTGCATGACGGCATCACCAGCCCTGTATCAAACTCCAGCTCCACAGGAGGCTGAGGAATTCAAGATGGCCCTTTAGGGCCGTCCTAAACTTCAGTTCTAGTCTAGCACTGACCTCAGGGAAGAGTACAAGCGAAGAACCTGCTGCTGAAGAACCGCAACTGGAAGAAGTGCACTCCTGGAAGGAAGGAGTTCTCTGTTACAAGACACAGCCACCAACTTTTAACAGGAACGAACACAACAACAGGAGAGGGTATGGAAAAAAGTGAGCCGCTGGTACTCTACAACCACTCAAAGCCATAGGAACAGTATTTTAAACTAACTGTGGAGCTGTGTTTTATCAACGTTTATAAACAGCATTAACTACTGTGTTTTCCTTGGAATGTTCTCTACCTCTGAATCACTTTGGTGATGAAGGGACAGATGGGTATCGGTCCTCCTCCCTCTTTCGCGATGCTCCGACCTGTGCCCCACATCCAGGGACGAGTTTCACATGATGCTCCAGTGCAGCTGCGTGGCCGGCTCCACGGCAGGTGCCACCCATGCCCACAGTAAACGTACGCTCTTAGCAAACTTGAATTCCTGCCTTCTTCAAACAAGCCATCGTGGAACTAGCTGAAGTTGCTTCCAGCCTTCTATACAGTTTGTAAAAATAAGGGGTTTATTATAAGATTTCATCTATTTTTAAGAAGGATACTAGACTGTAAATGTTCTATAAAAATTTAAATGAATTTAAAAAATAATAAAGTCTTGAAAGATTTTTCCACTTCTGCACATTTTATAGTAGTCTTCCAGCATTAGCCTAGAAGTAAAGTTTTGCCATTGCTTGAAGAAACTTCTTTTTTCTTCTCTGCGCAGCAAGCTGTAGGACTTCCTCGGGATTACTGGCATTCAGCTCTGTCTGGCCAATGGCTTTGATCTGGAACAAAAGAGGAGACAGCGCTGGCAACAGCCCTTCCAGCAAAGCTGTTTCACTACCAGGCGTTCTCAGCACTAGCTCGATGGGCGCTTTCTTTCTGTAACATGCTGTGCTACGTCACCCCACCCCTAAACCAAGAACTGTGCATCAGCACCCAGCCTCTGTTAGAAATGACATGACAAAATTAAAACTGGAAGTGGTGACTCTTTCTAAAGATGGTCTCTGTGGAGGGGGAAAGGCACACCAAGGAGCTCCCTCTGCCTCCAGGCACCCTGCCTCAACTTACCGCTATCTGCCGCTTGTCTGTCTCGCCTCTTTTGTGGTGGAGATCTGAGGGTGAGTCAAGGAAAGGTACTTGGGTAGGAAAAGGACTTCTTCCAGCCATGCAGATACTCCAAGATGGTGACATCCCAGATGTATTCGTAGTAGGAATCCATGGCGTCGTGACTGAGAGAGAACACAGGTCAGAGTACCCAACACATTCACGTACTGTGCACGCACATTTATAAACACTGTTGTAACATTTACCTGTTCTGTTCCTGCAGTGCCTTAAACGCAGTTTTATAGTCTACTTCTCTGAGGAACTGGCATAAAATGGCTACCTGTAAGGAAGGACTCGCAGGTGATTGCCACAGCCTTACCTCCCCACAAACCGACACCTTCCACAGAACCCCCGGTCACCCCTCCCTGTGCCTAGACCCAATCCAGCGCTCGTCTGCACAGCAAGCGAGTTCTGAGCAACTGAACCTCGAGGACACATGCAACTCATTCTGAAATATCAACACTAGTAGCTAACAGGAACAAAAATGGTTTTTACTCACGTCTGAAGGGCTTCCAGGTTTCTAAATGCATTTAATAGCTCTTAAAGTCAGCCTAATGTCAGCCTTGCTACTTCCTGGAGAATGAACAATCCCACGGCACAACACCGGCCACCCATGGTTATCATGATGAACACAGCCGGGTTCCCAACACCACCCCACAGACACCACACTCTCCCTCAACTATACCAAAGAAAAAAAAAAACATCTCTATCCCAAGAGAAAAATAGGACAAAAAACCCCAGACTATTTCTACTTTTGACAACATTTCCAAGCATATATTTATTTACTTACTAATTTGGGTCCTCTTAATGTCCTAGAAGCAACAGTAACTACAACAAAACCTATTTAATCGCAGATTGCATTGAGAAGGAAAGCTGGATTTGGCTTTACTTTTCAGAAAGTTCTCCTCCCACTTATAACATCAAAACATTTCTAAACTGATGTTTTACTTGATGCCATGTTCCACCTCTTACCTGGGTGTGACAGTTGAGTAAAGAACAACACTTGATCATCCTTTTAATCACCTACAGAAGGGTTAAAAACACAAACAGGATTATTTTTTTTTTCCTCCCCATATACAAAGGTGCAGCTAACTATGTACATCCTTCTAACCCCCCCTCCCGGATTCCTGGGGCTCAGTACACCCACTGAAGCAACTGAGCTTCCATCACTTTGGAGACTTCGCCAGGGTACGACGTGTGCTACAGAAGCAAGCACTGTGGTTCTGCAACAAGAGCCGGGCTGTGCTCTGCTAAAGGGCTTCGCCTCCATCTGCTGCGCCCACAGAAGAGGCCTGACCTGGGTGGGAACAGCACACGGAGTGGGCTCGGGGACGGCAGCTCTGGCACCCAGGCAGGCCTGTGCGAGTGAGCAGCAGAGCTGCCAGGCCACGGCACGGTGGCCCCAGCCGGGACTCCCGCACTGCTGCCCCCTGCCACAAGGCACAGCTTGGACTGGGATGTGAGCGGCCAGGATCCCAGGCAAAGAAGCTCTCACCTGCCGTACGAACAGGAACATGAAAGGAGCAGCAGTGGGACAGTGTGTGAAAACAAGCTCCTTCCCTGGGCCTACTGAAACGCGGCATACAAGTAACACAGCGGTTTCCTAATGAGTAGGACAAATGCCTGGATAAAGGTTAAAGTGGCTGCAAGATCCCACTGGAACACGCTTTGGCTGGGATCGAAAATCCCTCCCAGCACACAGTTACCAAGGTGTTCTCGCTCACGGCCCACTTGCAGGTGACAAGCCACTTGTCACACCGACCTGCAGAGTACACAGGTACACACTTTGTACAGTGCCACACTCGCGGCATGCCCTGACAGTGGCAAGCTGCAGTCCTACCCATCTCTGGATAATCTTGCACAGCGCTGCAATGCAGCTCTGCCCGCTGTCAGAGTCGGGAAAAAAAAATACCAGCGCATGTGTGAAAAGCAGCCAGTGTTGCCTGAACCTCACTGGTAATGTGACCCACGCCCCCACCCCTCACCTGTGTTAGCCAGAGCAGGCAGTATTTCAGAAGCATTTAGGCCACACATTTCTGCTCGTCTGCACCATGGGTGGGAGCAAGTAGGCTCCGTCAGTGCGACACCAGCACCAGCAGCACAGTGGGAGCCGGACGTTCCCACCAGCCGGAGGCTCAGGCCAGGGCTGCAGCACAGCCAGGAGGCAGAGCGATTCCCGCAGCGCTGCCTGGGCTGGTCCACACGCCCGGTGCCACACGGCATGGGACAGCCCCGCAGGGACAAGCTAGGGGATTACCACACCATGCGGTGATGGGTGCACGACAGGCTTTTTCATTTGCTACCGCGCTGGAGTCCAGCACCAGCGCTTTCCCAGCTGGCAGCTCTGCCCGATCAGTCTCTGCAAGCCAACAGCAAAGCCTTCTGCGCTTCAGCAAAGGAGAAGCTTCAGATTTTCTATGGCTTTCAAGCAACAAGCAAGGAAAAATGGATCTATGAGGATTCATATCCCTAAATGCATCAAGATATAAAATCTTACAGGCTACAGGGACATGTGCATGTTTAGCAGTGCTGTCACTACAGCAAATGAGGATGCTGACTGAATCCAAAGAGAGATTTCTGTACATCTAAACCCCATTGTAACTCACCTGGTCTGTGTACACATCGGGTGGTACCATCTTATTAAAGAAGTCAGAGCATGCAGCTCCTGCCTGTAGATAATAGTGAAGTGCTGCTGAATACTGATTCGTTGCTGCAGTGGAAAAAAGCAAAATAAGGTCTTAAAAGTAAGCACAGCAGTTATTTCTAAGACTCAGATCAATTGTTTACAGAGCTACTCAGACATACGTATCTCCTAGCTGAATTCCACTGGGAAAGTGCCTTGCATGTCATTGTTTCAAAAGCACAGATACACAGGAGGTGATGAAACAGTGACAGACAGAGAACTACACAATTGGAAAAACTAGCAACACAGGCAAAGTTCTGTCTTTTGAGAATTACTTTTTACTTTTCAGGTACTTGATCTTAAATCCATCAACCTTAGAGCAAAAAAGGAGTTTGCCTTCACCGAACTTAGCAGGCAGGTGGTAGTGAAGGAGTTGAGCTGGCGCGAGTCAGAGCGGGCCAGCTGATGCCGCCAGACCCGTCTCAGGGCTCAGCACCAGCTTTACTCCCAGATGTGACGGCAGCCTTCAGGGGCTCTGTGGCGAGAGCACCCTGCTTGTCCACGCTGCTTCTGAAATCCAGCCCTGCCACGTGCCAGGAGCACGCCAGCT